GAATTTAACATTACAAAAAATGTTAACTTTTTTTTCAAGTAGTCACTGAACCATGAAAATGAGGTCAAGGACATTGGACATGTGGCTGACGGAAACTTTGTAACATGAGGCATCCATATACAAAGTATGAAGCATCCAGGTCTTCCACCTTCTAAAATATAAAGCTTTTAAGAAGTTAGCTAACGCCGCCGCCACATCCCTATCCCTATGTCGAGTTTTCTGCGACAAAAGTCGCAGGCTCGACAAAAACTGGAAAATCCCCCCTTTTTTAATGAATAAAACCCCATAACTCAGAAATGTAAAATCTAAAATTTATAAAATTCTAAAGGGAGCTTACGGATTGATAATTTAGTCTTAGATGCAAGATTTTTTTATCAGTTGTTAGTGGCTTTGAACTAGCTGTCAGTAACTTTGAGTACTCTCAGATCTGTACTTAGTGTCTTTTTGTTGTTTGGATGTACAACTACCCGACCACGTCCACTTGTATTTGTATTTATCCATCTGATGAGTTAAGCCTCTTTCAACTGATTTTTATAGTTCGTTCTTATATTGTACTGTTACACCACTGTCCCAGGTTAGGGGGAGGGTTGGGATCCCGCTAACATGTTTAACCCTGACACATTCTGTATGTACATGTATGTGCCTGTCCCAAGTCAGGAGCCTGTAATTCAGTGGTTGTTGTTTGTTTATGTGTTGCATATTTGTTATATTCGTTCATTTTTTGTACATAAATTAGGCCGTTAGTTTTCTTGTTTAAATTGTTTTACATTGTCATTTCAGGGCCTTTTATAGAGTTCTGACTGTGCGGTATGGGCTTTGTTCATTGTTGAATGCCGTACTGTGACCTATAGCTGTTAATTTCTGTGTCATTTGGTCTCTTGTGGAGAGTTGTCTCATTGGCAATCATACCACATCTTCTTTTTTATATTTACATCAACAGATATAAACAATTCACCAAAGTCAAGGTGAGACAACAAAACTTAGTGGTAAGATCTCTGAAATGTTTTACACGGTACAAGTTTTTCTCATTGTTGGAGATTGTACAGTGACAGTAACACCTGTAACTGCTTAAACCCATTTCTTATGCACTTTAGTTCGATAAACTCACTGAATATCATACCACATCTCCTTATTTTATATGCATTACAATTTACATGTGCATGTAATTATAAATAAATATATATCAGAACAAAATTCATTGCGTCACTTTTATTTATGAATCCTTTGGCACAATACAAGTTCTAAAATTACACAACATAGTACAACTAAATGTTATTTCAGATGAAAGTTTTGTTTCAGTTCCATTCATAGGATTTATTAGAATTTTGTATGTTTTGCCAAGTCCAATAATTCGCTCTATGTGCACATGTTAATTGGAGACTTTTCTATCCCGTATAAGAGTTTTGGAACTAATTCTGTTTCTTTTTTTGAAAAAAGTTAGCAAACAAATCTTGCACATTTAAACCTTTGTCTGCCATCACACTGTCACCTGGATCACATAATTGAACTATTCTACATCTTTCAACTATTTCATAGTCACTGGTAGAACCAACATATGCATTAGAGACATAGTTGACTAAACCACCAGGTGTCGAACATACAAGTATTTTCAGTGTTTCTGTTTTTATATGATGAAAAGGTTGCCTGAGCTCTAGGAGCTTTAGGTTTTATCACGGGATATTCTGTGCTGTCAATAATAATCCAAGTCGTAGGAAACTTTAATTTGAAGTTGGATGGTGAAAAATACCTGACTAAACCACTAGATGGCCAAGTGTTAGCCTCACACCACTGTTTAGACATAAAAACAATCCATGTATACACAATATTCTTAACACTAGATTCAATCTAGAATCTAGAAAGTTCAAAGTTGGTTGTATAATGCCTCAATTTCATCAAAGTCATAAAAAAACTGATTTTCAACTGACACCCTATCAATTTGAAAATATACATTGTATGTATCTCAAACAATGTGCTGCTGGACCAAGTGTGGTCAAAACAAATAAAAATTTAGTGTACAACTCTAAACCGGTATAAAAATGCATGGCTGTGTCACGTGTCTTCATTTCAAAATTCTCTGCTGAAAACATAGGCATTGATGGTGTTTGCATAATTCCATCTGTGAAGCTCAACATTAGCTCGGCAGTTGGTGGTGGACAGTCATAAATCCTTTCTGCAGTATGAATGACTTCTTCAGGAAAACCAACTTTACAATCAAAACTTTCCTCTAGATTTCTACTACAATATTCATCAAGTTTAGTTCTTTTGTTTTCACAGGAAACTGCCCTGATTTTTCTTTTTGCGGACGATTCAGTCTCTTGCTTGGTCCAGGAAAATAGGCTGGGAATGGCAGTAGACTTAAGTCTCTGAATGGTGGGTTTGTGCCCTGAAAAAGGTTATAAAACATTAGTTTTTTGATAATTAAATGAACTTCCATTAGCAATGTATACTTTGTATTACCTGGCGAAATATTAACTAGATTTATTCATTACAATCTGGATAAAACTATGTTTGCCTGATTCAATGTATGTTATGTAAATCCAAAGGACAAACAATGAGAGACTTATGCAACAAACGTACATTGTTTGTACCTAAATAACTATAATATAGATGAGAGCATGTCATTGTTTTGTTCCTGTTAACATTGTCATTGATATTTTTCAAGAAAGTCTATGAGGCATAGCTTATGCATTCCTGTCATTACTACATTAGCATAATTACTGCTAAAATAATTCTCAGTATGATATACCTCTTGTAAGAAATCATTATAATTGTAGCAATCACCAAAAAATCTCAAACAGATCACATTGAATCGTAATCCAAAAAATTATGACGTCTTGAATTAACCACCCCCTTTTATTCTAAAACGATAATTGCGGTTGTAAACAGACTTTGGTTTATTCGCATGGCGATTACATATATAACTATATATTTCAAAAAGAAAATAGAGTTTTACCATGAATAGTTTCCTGCACGTAGTCTTTTTCAGTAAAATGTGCCTTGCAAACAACAGCTGATTGAGATGGACTCCACGATTTCATCGTGTTCTCGTCCAATCTGCGTATGGGCCATGGCGTTGATCCAACTTTTCCTTCTTTTTAAGTCATTTGGAAATGCATGTCCTCCTCTTAAAGGACATCCAGGTACACAACAACAAGTACTTGGTATCGTTAATAAAAAATTCGTAAAGGTTCCGCGGAACCCACTGTCTCGCCTACTTTTGCTGTTAATCGCAGGCTCAACAAAAATGAGGAAAAAAATTAATAAAAATATTCCTCTATATACTATCTTTTGATTGTAAGTAGCTTCTGTCCAAGTTTGATAAAAATCCAGGATAGTTTATGAATCTAATAAATGTTTTAAAAACTTAAACTGCAGACTGTATGTAATGTTAACTGGAAGAAAAACTAAGTCCATTTATAAGTAAAATACGGAAAAAATGGAACAAAATTTTAACAAAATTTCCTTCTAGATACTAGCTTTAAATCATAAACAAGCTTCTGTCCAAGTTTGGTACAAATCCAGGATAGTTTAAGAAAGTTGTTAAAATTTTAAAAACTTAAACCACAGAGTGAATGTAATGTTAACTGGCAGAAAAACTAAGTCCATTTATAAGTAAAATACGGAAAAAATGGAATTTTTTTTTTACTAAATTTACTTCTGGATACTATCTTATGATCATAAACAAGCTTCTTTCCAAGTTTGGTAGAAATCCAGGACGGTTTAAGAAAGTTATTAAAATTTCAAAAACTTTAACCACAGAGTGAATGTAATGTGTTTCCTGGCAGAAAAACTAAGTCCATTTATAAGTAAAATACGGAAAAAATGGAATTTTTTTTTTACAAAATTTACTTCTGGATACTATCTTATGATCATAAACAAGCTTCTGTCCAAGTTTGGTAGAAATCCAGGACGGTTTAAGAAAGTTATTAAAATTTCAAAAACTTTAACCACAGAGTGAATGTAATGTGTTTCCTGGCAGAAAAACTAAGTCCATTTATAAGTAAAATACGGAAAAAATGGAATTTTTTTTTTACAAAATTTACTTCTGGATACTATCTTATGATCATAAACAAGCTTCTGTCCAAGTTTGGTAGAAATCCAGGTTAGTTTAAGAAAGTTATTAAAATTTCAAAAACTTTAACCACAGAGTGAATATTTGTGGACGCCGCCGCCGCCGACGACGACACCGACGGAATGTAGGATCGCTATGTCTCGCTTTTTCGACAAAAGTCGAAGGCTCGACAAAAATGTAACTGAAATAGTTGCACAGTGCAGAAACCGGAAGTTGAGGAACAGGATCGGCTACCACGGCGCCACCTATTCAGGAACGATAATTTGCTACTTTATATAACTGCGAAATAACAATAACGTTAGACGGGTTCACTGCATAATCAGAAATGCGCTTTAAATTGTATAATATAATTCATGTTCAGTCGACCTTTAATTATTATATCAACGACTGAAATGATTTATAAACATATAGATTGCAGATAACACTCGAAATTAACCCGAGCTCTTTCCACACGGAATTCAAATAATTCTAGTTTGTCAATCGGTTGACTGCTTATAATGCAAAATACAAATATATCAAGTTTTTAAAACTAACAAAACACAATGATCGTTTCTCTATTTCCCAATGTAAATGAAATGAAACAAAAAACATTTTATATCACAATAAGAAGAGGAGAGAATTCAACATTTCCGGATCTACTTGGAGCCTAACGACCCCCCACGTAGATAAGTTGGATATCGCGGAAGGAAGGATTAACCCGGCAACTAGAAAGGCATTAAAGCACTGCCTTTAAAAATTGAATCGTAATTTCCTGTCGATATGCACAACTACATAGTATGTCCTTATTATCTAAAAAGGTTTCATGAAATTCTGTAGTGTGGTTTGAGAGGAGTTGCGATGACAAGAAATAGGACTGACGACGGACAGACGGGTCAAAAACTCGGCAACTCATTGCATGGGGTATAATAATATTTCATTGTTATTATACCTGAGAGGCTGAGGTAGCTTCATCGGTCTTTTTGTCATCACGGATGCGAAGAAAACGTGGAAATCTTAAAGAAATTCCCTTCTCTGGATCCACCTACAATGAAAGCATACAATCATAAAATAACTCCTGGCAGATATAAAGATGTTCGACCATAAAAAAATTTAATACAAATTTACTATATGTGTCAAATGTGATAATTGCCAAGCTATTGTATTATACATGGTCTCCAAGCCAACATATTTCACCACAGAATTGTCAAAAGAAAAGATACCTCTGATTATTTTGAATTGAATATGAAACTAATTCCATTTGAACCATGTAACATCAACAACTTATTGTTAAATATAATTATGTCAAACATTGAATATTTATACCATGCAATGTTTTTATTATTGCTAAAATTGTGGTGGGATAGCTTTAGCAAAATTACACACATGCAATTAGCACTATTTGCATGTAGCATATTTTGAAATTGCAATAATTAATTTTACAATTTTGTCAATTGTTTGAAAATTGCAATGAAAAATTAAAGAATTGCATTAGTTAAATAAACATACCAGTCCAGATGCTGCCTTGTGTGTTGGTGAAATTGATAAATCTGCACATTTGATTTCCCATACTTGTACAGCATCGAACCAATGATCTGGCAGATGAGAGTTGTCATAGCGATAGTATGTTTTAGGTTTATCAATCAAATGTTCTTTAAAGAAGGTAGAATGTTGTTCTAAATCCTCATCAGTAAAACCAGTGCCAATCTACAAGGAAAATTTAATAATAAAACATAACCAATATTTAATAACTTTTTTTAAAATTTCTATGGCAAATAACCACCGTTTAATAACTTTTTCAAAATTTCTATGGCAAATATTTTTCAATAGATAATTAGAACCAGGTCTCACACTGGGCATCACCAATTTATCAAAAGACTACTTTAAATTTCTTCTGGTGACAAAATCCAGCATCTTGTAAATTTCAGGAGCCATTCCAAGAGAACTGCTTAAAAATCTCACTTACTTTACATATACTTTGAAATTCTTCATTTTCTTCATCATAACAAGCTAATAAGAATCCACCGTATCTCCCAGTTCGTTTTCCTGTTCCTATGTAACCACCTATCACCACAACATCCAATGTGTCACCAACTCCCTCTAAATAGTCTTTCTTCAACTGTAAAATCACATTAAAAGTTTTTATTTATATAAAATCATATAAAAAATAAGTTGAACTGTGAACTATTGCTCTGATTTATAGTTTCTATGAAAACAGTGAACATTTTATGAGACGGACAGAATGCGGGAACATGGACAGAAGGATGGACAGTTGTAAACCATTATACTATCTTCCTCTCAAAGCCAGGGTATAATATAACAAAATTCCCTTTTTTCAAATGCTCTTCAGCTTCATACTTTTTTTATTCCAGTGTCACCGATGAGTCTTATGTGGACCAAACATGCTTCTGGCCTACAAAATATAAGCCTGGAATCATTGATGAGTTTTTCTTCCACAATTTCTTGTTACTACCTTATTTTTTTTAACTGCACTACATTTGATAAATGGTATAAGATCATTTGAAATAATGTTAACCTGATAGATTTCATTTTACTTCTTATCTTGACTTGAAATAGGAGCTTAGCACATTTTAAACTTTTATCATCTAATCTTACCTTCAGCCAGTTATGAGATCGTTTTGCTATTTCATAAGTTGCATTTTTGTCTAAAGTTTTCACCATTAAGCCTTCACAATTTCCTGTTGAAAAGAAAAAGCAAAACAAATTATAGGCCTTGTAAAAATTTTATTTCCCTTTAAACATAATGTAACAAGCAATTGATGAAAATAAAGAAATCTTATCACTGTTAAAAACAAGAGTGCACATGCTGAAATGTCTTGCCTTCTTTACTGACCATTGATTTTATGTTGATAGTCCTAAATATAAAGCTTTACTAAAAGTATCACATAAACTTAACATGATCCAAGAAAATGAGGTCAAGGTCAGATAAACCAAACTGGAAATACATGTACACCTTTAAATACAACCATTCAATACACTAAATATAGTTGACCTATTGCTTATAGTTTCTAAGAAACAGACTTAAACAGGAAAACTAAACATTGACCAATGAACCATGAAAATGAGGTCAAGGTCAGATGATACCTTCCAGACAGACATATACACCTTACAATCATTCCATACAACAAATATAGTTGACCTATTGGTTATAGTTTAAGAAAAACAGACCAAATCACAAAAACTAAACACTGAGCAATGAACCGTGAAAATGAGGTCAAGGTCAAATAAAACCAGCCAGACTGACATGTACACCTTACAATCATTCCATACACCAAATATAGAAGACCTATTGCTTATAGTATCTGATATATGGACTTAACCTTGTTCACTGATCCATGAAATGAGGTTGAGGTCAGATGAAAACTATCTGACGGGCATGAGGACCTTACAAGGTACGCACATATTAAATATAGTTATCCTATTACTCATAATAAGAGAGAAATTAACATTACAAAACATCTTAACTTTTTTTTCAAGTAGTCACTGAACCATGAAAATGAGGTCAAGGACAAAGGACATATGACAGACAGAAACTTCATAACATAAGGCATCTTTATTTATACAAAGTATGAAGCATCCAGGTCTTCCACCTTGGAAAATATAAAGCTTTTAAGAAGTTAGCCAATGCCGCCGTTGGATCACTATCCCTATGTCGAGATTTCTGCGACAAAAGTCGCAGGCTCGACAAAAAATCATATTAGGGCAGTTCCATAAAAACACGCATTTGGCACAATAAAGGCACTTCAAAATAACAGCAATTGATGGTTGTCAAATAATTTTGGTACAGTAAATATGTGATAGGAAATTTCACATAAATTTCCCACCCTTTTATCTATTCTGATCCTAATAACAAAATAGACTTATTGATTTACTGGCTATTTTATTTGCATTGTTTCATATGTTGTTATACAGTGATTTTTATAATTTACTTTGTGGTATGTGCTTGCTCATTGTTGAAGTTGTTTAAATCCCATTTCTTCAGTCTCTTGGAGGATAGTTTCTCATTGGCAATCAATCATACCACACTTAAATTCAAAATATACTCTAAACTGAATCATTTTAAAGTAAAATACCTTTAACAGACTCATCTAAGAATTCAGCAATTTCTTCTGTATCAGATAAAATTTTAGACTTAGCATACACAAATTCTCCTTCAATTTCTTCAAATGACTGATGTAAGAGTTCTCTCCTCCTTCTGAAAGGCTGTGTGACCAGAGATTCGCCATTTAAATATAATAAGTCAAATGCATACACACAGACCTGGACCTTTATATCTGAAGCATCAGCATCCTAGAAAAGAACAGTAAAAAAATGATTGATGATTTTTTTAGCAAGCAAACCTGAATATCAGAAGACCTCTTTTTTTCAGTTAAGAACCTATATGTAAAATGGCTACGAATTGGGAAATTTTATTTGAAGGTGTTAATGTGAAATATAATAAAAACAAGAATGTGTCCATAGTAGACGGATGCCCCACTGCACTATCATTTTCAATGTTCAGTGGACTGTGAAATTGGGGTCAAAACTCTAATTTGGCATTAAAATTAGAAAGATCATATCATAGGGAACATGTGTACTAAGTTTCAAGTTGATTGGACTTCAACTTCATAAAAAACTACCTTGACCAAAAATTTAACCTGAAGGCACTATCATTTTCTATGTTCAGTGGACCGTGAAATTGGGGTCATAACTCTAATTTGGCATTATAATTAGAAAGATCATATCAAGTTTCAAGTTGGTTGGACTTCAACTTCATCAAAAACTACCTTGACCAAAAACTTTAACCTGAAGCGGGACAGACGGACGAATGAACGAACGAACGCACAGACCGAAAAACATAATGCCCCTAGGTGGGGCATGAAAATAAGGGAATCAGCCTGAAGTTATGGGTCTCATTGTATATATGAGCAAGACACCTGGTGCCAATTATGGAGCAGGTACATGTGCTTTTCAAATACCAGTCTATCTTCCATAATAGTTGTTTTCATTTTTTACAGCATTGGGCCTATACTGCTGCTGGTGGACTATCAGTCCTGAGGGTTTCATCAGCTCAGTAGTAAATACTTGGGTTCTTATACATCATTGGCTTTACAATATTCGGCTTTCAGCATTCCTGATGAAGGTAAATCTAGAAAAGCACTTTGTTTTTCATTTATTCCATGGTAAAGGAGTTGAGTTATGTGCAATTAGTCAATAAGATATATATACCTTCCTTTTTCTGTGACTTAATACTTGGAAAGGCTGTATTTGTTTTTTCTCTGCATCCCACGCCACAGCTTCAGAGTCAAGTACACATGATTTGACAGAATCGTTCTTGACTTTAGGTATTCTGGCTATTATATCTGGGTATTTAGTGGTATTGTTCTCAGAGTTTCTACTGTATATATGTACTTTTCCATCTTCTAATATATGTATCTTTAGAGAAAAAGAAAATAAAACATATTAAATATATAACAATCCATCTTGCTTTTGATCATAAAAACAACCAAATAAACCTAATACCTTAAAAAAATTAGTACCAAGGTGGATGTCATGTACCTTAATTGTCCCTTGAAAGTTCAAAGCAATATGTCTAATTCACATAGGTAAACAACTAGAGGCTCTCAAGAGCCTGTGTCACTCACCTGTATTTACTGATGATTTGGAAATTATGTAAAATAAAGTTAAAATCATATTTAATATATAGTATTAGATAATATAATAATATCTAAGATAATAACAAAAAACTGCAAATTTTTTGTAAAATTACTAACTCAGGGGCAGCAACCCAACAACAGGTTGTCGGATTTGTCTGAAAATTTCAGGGCAGATAAATCTAAATCTGATGAACATTTTTGCCACCTGTCAGATTTGCTCTAAATGCTTTAGTTTCAGAGATATAAACCAAAAACTGCATTTTACCCCTATGTTCTATTTTTAACCTAGTCGGCCATGATGGTTGGAAGGCAGGGTCATTGGACAAATTTTTTAAACTAGATACCCTAATAATGATTATGGCCAAGTATGGTTAAATTTGTCTCAGTAGTTTCAGAAGAAGAATTTTGTAAAAGATTACAAAAATTTACGAAATATTATTAAAAATTTACTATTAAGGGCAATAACTCCTAAAGGGGTCGACTGACAATTTTGGTCATGACAACTTATTTGTAGATCTTACTTTGCTGAACATTATTGCTGTTCCCAGTTTATCTCTATCTATAATAATATTCAAGATAATAACCAAAAACTGCAAAATTTCCTTAAAATTACCAATTCAGGGGCAGCAACCCAACAACAGGTTGTCAGATTTGTCTGAAAATTTCAGGGCAGATAGAACTTGACCTGATAAGCAGTTTTACCCTTTGTCAAATTTACTCTAAATGCTTTTAGTTTCAGAGATATAAGCCAAAATCTACATTTTACCCCTATGTTCTATTTTTTGGTTGGCATGGTCATCGGACAAATTTTTAAAACTAGATACCCTAATGATGATTGTGGCCAAGTTTGGTTAAATTAGGCCCAGTGGTTTCAGAGGAGAAGATTTTTGTAAAAAGCTAACGACGACGCCTACGGACGACGGATGCCAAGTGATGAGAAAAGCTCACTTGGCCCTATGGGCCAGGTGAGCTAAAAATCACATGTCTGTCTGTCTGTCAGGCTTACGGTTGTTTGTCTTTCACTTTAAACTTCTTTTTTTTTGGTTATCACATTTACATCAATATACAAGTAAATTCAAATAAATGTAATGTGTTTATTTTTGCAAGTTACTTTTATTTATGTATATATTTGCATTGTCAGGTTTTTCATTACTACTATTGAAAATTGTTTTATATAAAAAAAAAAAAAAAAAGGTATTAACTTCAAATTTTTCAAGTAATAATTTAACCATGTACATGCCATTAAGGACAACAGAAATTTGTCAGAAAGAAACTGGAGATTATAAGGTGTCTGAATATCATGAATGAAGTACCCAGCTCTTCTACCTTCTAAAATATAAAGGTTTATACAAGAGGTATCACCGCCTCCAGAGTAGCATCCTATCTCTCACATTCTGCGACATAGGCAAGACAAAAACTTACCTGTGCTCTTTCACCATCATACTTATATTCACAGGCGAATTCTGCATTTTCAAAACGTTTCAATACCTCACTAACACCCTTTGTAGGATGGGCAAGCATAGGTTTGAGTGGAACACCTGAAAAATATATACGGAACATTTGCTTGATTTAAGTACAAGTTTCTTTTATCTAATGCAATTAAATCATTTCCAAATTTATAAAGATAACCTAGAGAAGACTTTTCAATGCGTCAACTAAAGTAAAGATAAAGAGGTTGTCAATATGACAGCATACCAGGATTTTATTACCTTTATAAGAGTAATGTTAAAGCATTAGAGGGCCATTACTCCTGAACAGCAAAAGTGAAAATAATCAGTAACATCAAAATTTGAAAAGTATTGGTTAAAAGGTTCAAGAGTTATTGCACAGACATTCGACTGGAGCCGTCAGGCTGCTCCCCCACCCACCTTTAGAACAACCTTAAAATTGATAACGGATGGAAAATCAAATTAAAAATATTCCCAAGCCATCAAATTTCAATGATCTTGATCATTTCATTCAGTTTTCATAATTTATCAGATACAATACTGCAGTTATTTCCCTTTGAATACTTGCTTCGATGAGACAATCAATTAATGCTTTGAAAGTTTAGTTTTGACCCTGAACAGTCTTTCCCAAGGAACACTTTTACTTTATCATAAAATGACAAGACTTAGGTAAAAGATTCATGCAACATACACATACACATACATAAGTTTACAGATTGATGGTTTATTAGTATTCATTCCTTACCTGGTGTTAGTTTACAATGTTTGGGTAACTCCTGTATACCTTCCTTTAATAATACTGGGATTATGGCACCATAGTTTGGACATTCACTGCAAAAATAAAGATAATTTAATAGCTGTCTAATTACTGACTACTTTTCCAAAGCAATTTATTTCTATAAATCGTCACAAATATGTCCAACTTTGATATTCATTGTACAAAAACATAAAAAAAAGTTAGAAAATGGTAAAAATAAACTCTGTGAAGTTGGTTAGAAAAAAAAATGTGACACAAGGCCAACAACATAGATTTGGAGCTTGACATACTGTATAGAAACAATCAGCCTAAGCAATCATGACTAATCAATATTTTTTAGGAATAACCTGACCAGCGTCACATGTGAAGCAGGAACTGCTTATCACTTAGAAACACTAGAATTCAGCAGATTTTTAGGTGGGGTTGGTTTTTAGTGTAATGTTTTGTTTATGTTGTTGACCTTTTCTACGTTTTTATTTTTGGACATGGTGTTGTGTGTTTATATTGGACTTTTGATTTTCTACTGCTCTTTGGTATCTTTTTTAGATTTTTTGGCTTATTATTGAAGAACATACATTGACCTTTGACAGATTTTGTTTGGTTTCTGTGGTTGGATTGCTGTTATTCTGACAGCTACTTTTGTTCATATTCAATAACCACTTCCCCTAATACTAATGTTTACCTATAAACTGTTTTAATGACTAGAGCTGCTTCCTCCATGTTCTTTTTTAATGATTCTGAACCCTGACCTTTCCCAGCATCCAATATTTCTGGAGGATAATCTACAATAGATATGGAAATTAGTATAACGGTAGATGTAAAATTATATTTGAAACACCTTTTTCCAGAGTGCCATTTTTCATTTCCCTGGTCCAAGTTTATATCATCGTCCTGTTGGTAGCTGCACTGTGTAGGTCTTTTTGAGTGTTTTAATTTTTTTAATATATGATCACTGGATTAGTCCCTCTTTTTCTGTACCTAGTCAGACTGTCTGGACCATTGTTGTTTGCTGTTGTTTTAGTTAGATGTAGGTATTTGATGGGATCTGTTGTACTATTCATTACTGTTGGTTAGTCCTTTTTTTCCTTGCATGTATTACGGAATTCAGTACTCTATACAAAGGACAATACTGAAACCTGAATTCTTTTGTTTTCATTTTTTATTTTTATGGTACTGTTAATTCAGAAATTATTGCATGCATTTATTAATGCGATTTTTGAAGAATGGGCAAAAATGCGAGATTAATTATTGCGATTTCATGAAAATCTGCATACAGATATATATATCAGCAGAAAACGCAACCGATCGCATAATTTGCATTAATAAAAACCTGGCAATAATTTCTGAATTTACAGTATAACATATTATGGAATACCGTATCGTACACTCTAAACAATACTGTGACCTGTACTCTTTTGTTTTCATTACTTATTATCAATATTCATATAAAGCAAAATATTGAGATTATGCAAAAGATTTCTCAACCTGTCTTTCTTAAAAGCATAAAAAGAATCACTAGTTAGTTTTGTCTCATTGGCAATCAAACCACATTTCTTTATTTTGATATCCTACCTAAAAGGTAGATAACTCCTACTGATGGTAGAAATAAAATTGACTTACCTTGCCCAGGGGGTGTAAGGTATACAGCATTACCAAGTGCTGTGAGGACACTTTGCTCTGCTAGACCTATTCTCAGTTTCCCTCCAAGGGATCGAATAAGATATCTGGCTTCAGAATGTCTACAGGCTACAAACATTCCTTTTATTTTTTCAATTTTCTTTGCTTGAGCCTTAAGGAAGATAAAATAATTCAATAATGTATGTGTTACCAAAAATAATCTGATACATTGTTCAGTTATCTCCCCTGAACACAGAAATATAATAATTATCTCCCCTGAACATTTGGCAGGAAGACTGATCACACATTTGGCTGTTAATTAGTCATTTGAATAAATAAGCTCTTTATTTACAACTCATTTTTATTTTGTTGAAAAATTCTGCTGTCTAATTACATAACAGTCAGGCACATGACTAAATGCATTGACTATTATCCTGAATAATGTTGCGTTTAAAAACTTATAAAATCTGAATTCAATTGTTAAATGTATAACTTACAGAATTGCCTGACATCTGCCCGATTTCTGTCAACTTTTTGAACACATCTCGTATTGTCAACTTTGGAGGAGCAAACATTGTTCGTTGGTTACTTCTACTGGACTAAAGTAGAAATATCACAAAGTAAGGCAATAATTAACTCTAAATGCAATAAAAAATTAGCATCTAAAAATACTCAAGGGAAGGCACATTTTGAAATTGGAGTAACCATCTATAGAAGTTTAGCATTTTTCATAGTTTTCACTGTACAATATATAAATCAATCGATAGTTGAGATACGGAAGTGCCTTCCATGGTTTACAAGTAATATCATGGAAAAGACCTCATTTGAAAATCACCCTTTGTGGTTATCTTTAAGTGAAAGTGGGTGATTCATCTCCAGGTGACATATTTTTTGTGCACTGTTAATTATCTTGTTTTTAGTGTTTTACAGGAATACTATGAAACAGCTCATTGAGGACAAACCATGATATCATTCTTATCCTGTATCCCTAGTTTTTCTTATCCATTTTCATGTCAAGTAACAATTGACATGACAAAAATGGTTCATGAACTAATGGTAAATGTTAAACTGCACATCTTCAAAATTATCACAATTTATACAGTTCACCTGAAAATCAGGAATTCAAAACAGTGCAAATTAAGATTCAGTTGACAAATCATAAAAACTAGCTGATTAAGAGTATATATTGCTTAGTACCCCCAATGGATTATTCATTTCAACAGTATTAAATGACAGCATTAACAGCTTTAATATTAATGTTGCTGTGGTGTATTGTAAATACTGCTGGATCTGCTTTGTTTATTTCTATGGTGGGAAAGAATGATCCACTGGGAACCAGTGAATTGGTTACATTAGAACTGTCAAATAAATCTTAATTAAAATAACTTGGAATTTCGTCGCTCAATCTCTAGATTTTTGCAAAATATTTTGTTAATGTTGTTTGCCTCTATGACATTTTTACTTTTTTCATCATGGTGTCTTTTCCATTGGAATTCTTATTTTCTAATGTCCCTCTAGTAAATTTAGTCTATTTTTTCAGTATTTGGTGTTACCATAGTAACAGAACATACAAACCTCTGCTACAATTCCCAGGTCACCTTTCTCTTGTACATCAAGCTTTATCTTGTCAACACTTCTACCTAAAATCAATGTTAACTATGACATGTATTGGTCAACGGGGAATAATGACATCACAAACAAGGAAGAAGTTACATTTCAACTTATATTCATTAAGGTGCTAGAAAGCATGCATACACCCAATCATTTTATATTTCATACTCTATATAATTATTTATGGTCTATCGTGGGGTCTGTGTAGTTTCCCTGTGCTTGAGATAAGCATCTTTATTTTTAGTTATGGGGGTTCTTATTAAAGAATAGCAATAAATGACCTGTTCCTTTGCTTTTTTTCACATCATATAGTTATTTATGTCATGAATTGGTTCCAAATATCATTTTCTTTTCAATTCTTGAAAATGTAATTATCAAGATTAATAACAACACCTTGCAATGATGCAATAGACCTATTGAAGTTGACTTAATAGTTCTAAAATGCATACCTGTTGCCTGAGCTATAGCCCTCATCAGAACTGTTTCTCCAATACCAAGCTCAATGCCTTCATAAGCTGGAGCCAACTTGTTGAGACACAGGTACACAGAGCATAATAAATCTTCTGGGGTGAGTACAATTACAGAACGGAAAAAATTACAAAGCATTTCCATAATCTTTAATCTGAAAAAGACATAAACAAATAATAACAATCTTATATCAGGAATTAAGAAAGTGCATGGATAGTGACCTTCTTTGTTCTATGTTTTTTATTTAAGTTGTTTTTATTCAAAGTCTGTTCAAAATAGTTTTAATAAAAAGAAATAAGCTACAAAACAATGTATCACAAAGATAAATTTTTACATTCTAAGAGAAATAACTCTAAATTATATCTTTTCATTTCATCTAGCAGGCATCTATCATGTCTATACTGAAACCATTCTTGTGTCCCAAACTTTCAAAGGGACATCAGAGAAATTTTATCTGCATTTTGTTTGCAATTTGAAATCCTAAAACAATCTCCACAACGGATCGCATATCCTGCTGCCCATGTGACACTAACAGCAACAGCTTAATTTGCATAATACTGTAAATTCATAAATTTTTGGGTTCATTTAGTATTGTGATAATTGAAAGATGTACACAAATGCTAGATTAATAATTGCAATTCTAGAAAATGCTAATTCTAGAAAATGCTATCAAAATTCAAAATGCCAGGTTTTATTTTTCTGAATCATATCCAGACGCAATTTTCGCAATTATTAAAACGTTGCAAAAATTTCTAAATGTACAGTAATGGGAAGACTTTTGTAATTCTTTCAATACATACCTAGCTGAGACAGCTTCTATTGCTTCAAAGGTCCTAGCCAAGGCAAGATATGGTATTCTGGAGAGAGAGAAAAAAAAAACTTTCAAGAAAAATTTATCAACTTATAAAACTTGAAAGTATAGTTAAATGAGTAAATAAGTAAACTGTGTTCCATAAAATTCACAAACTGACTGATAAATATCATTGAAAAACAGATTTTTTAATATCAAAGACTTATCTATATAAATAAGAACAGTGCTTTGTTTCTGTCCTTCATTTAAATCTTCTTGTAAGCTAAAAAAATCTAATCAATGATGATAAAAACAGTGCTTTTTTCAATCCACCATTTTCTACATAAGAAAATGCCTGTACCAAGTCAGGAATATGACAGTTGTTATCCATTCGTTTGATGTGTTTGTTTTTTTGACTTTGCCATTTGATTGGGGACTTTCCTTTTTGAATTTTCCTCGGAGTTCAGTATTTTTGTGATTTTACTTTTTATTGCTGTTCTTCATTGAAGGTCTTCAACAAATAAATATACAACAAAATCAAAGATTGAAACTAGTGGTATTCATAGATAACTGCTTAGTCTTACTTTTAAACACGGATGCTACGTTAATTTCCTAATCAGATAAAATAAAAACCTACTTTTCCCCATGTTTCCAACAGGCATCATCAATTGGATGGTACCGTGATTTGGCAGGATTATAATCGTCTGTCTTCTTATCAGATCCTGACTCTCTGAAAATACAATATTAAGGCCATGGTTATTTCAAAATGGATATATGATTACCATTGTTTATATCATACCCGTGTCACATCCCTTTTTGACTATTGTAAAAATCATAATTTGCACATGTATGCATTATTGTACTAACTATTGTTACATGTTTGCAGTTTATAATACTATGTAACTTAATAGTTTTACAATTCGAATTACAAAATAAAAGTCATGGGTCCACTCCAACACTCAAATGAGAAAGGACTATTGGGATTTGAAATACTGGTATGTCACCGAGACAGATTGCACAGCAGACAGGACATCATCAAGAAATGATTAGTCTTCTGGTACAGAAGGATCAACTCAAGAATGCCGTTAAAAGAAGGCAAATGGCTATAAGACCACAACATCTGCTGGAGAAGATGCTGTCATAGGGAGACAATTTTTTTTAAAAACAATACTTTCTTGAAGAGTCTATGGTTGCCGTACCATGCATTGTCAAGACGAACTGTTAAAAACAGTCCAAGGAAGTTGGACATTGATCCAGAAGACCACAAGGAGACCATTGCTAACTAACTGACAGCATGCATAACAATGATCAGAGACAGGTAAAAAAAAGTGTAAAAATGAAACCCCAACAAACATGGTTAACCTCAGAAATCTCAAAATAAAATGAAAAAAAACACTTTACATTTATGTGGATTCATTATTATTCAAGAGTCCTGAACATGCATGAAATATTTGCCAGTGGACGTTAAGCAACCAACAATCAATCATATTATTCAAGATATACTAATTATGATGGATAGGTTATTATGGACGATAGGTAAACCACAGATTCAAATGTTCAACAAAGTACAAATTTTCTATATCAAAAATCAAATATCCACAAAAATACCATTTTTCCTAACTCCACATTCTTTGGTATCCTCGAAAATAAATGATTCCACAGTGATCTTTAATTGACTTGTGACAAAGCTATGGTGTGAGTCCTTCTGTTTTATAGCCTCAAGTGTGTTTATAATGTCGATCAAATTTAACTTCATAATCATGTAACATTTTTTGCTAGACATTAAGCAAATAATAATCAACCAATCAATCAATCTGTTGTTACTACCCCTGGATGTAATTTATCTTATATAAAACATATCGATACACCAATTTCTTTTTCCAAAATAAGAGATAGTTAAATTCTTTATCCTTTCTTTTTTCAATGTAAAAGTGCTTTTAGTCCTATTTTCCATCTAAATCTGGTCAATCAAATTTCTATTAGCAACAAATGTGATCTATTTTCGACCATTAATGGCATTTTTAACGAGTCCCATTGAATTCCTTCCACTTTCCCCAATCATTCCTTTGGAACGGTAAACTGTTCTGATGTAACTTATACAAAGCATATAAAAGCAAAAGACAAAATTGTAAGGATGAAATCTCAAACTGTATTTGCTTAAAAGCATCTCATTTTCTTCCTGATGACAATTTGAGACTTCTATTCACTAGCAGACTATTGTCTCCATGACGATAAATAAAGTTCCCTCAGTCTGAAACATCTAAATAGTGATGGTGTTAATTTGAAATTCACACTTTCAGCAATAAATGTTCAAAACATTTGGACATTTTGTTCTGGAAGTATTCTTCTTCAATATACATAGTCTGCTTTTTTTGCAACTAAACCATAAATGCCAGGTAAGAAAAAAAATTTCATTTTTTATTTAACATTTTTTTTTAATGTTACCTTTTTTATTTTTCTATTTAATTTTGAATCAAAATCATATTCAATCCTATTTTTAATAAAGGTATCATATACATATATCCATTATTTTAGATTTGTAGTTTTCTTTTAATAATTCTTTACAATATGCTCTTTTTCATCTTCCTGTTTAAAGTTTCAAATCTCGCAAAGTGAACATAATTTTTAAATGAAAAGCTTCCTACAACAAGTTTTCAAGCTACAATTTTTAAATAAAAAGAAAATTTATTGATTAATTCTAGCAAATAATTATCACCTACATTAATTCATAAAATGTGTAGTAAATGTCGTTTGTTGTTAAATATTGAGACCATTCTGTCAATTCCTTTGAAGTCTCCTGAATTGAAGATGTTCCGTTGTAATTGACAATACTGATGGGCAAATTAAGTGTCATTATCTACATTAATTAGATAACTTGCAATAACAACCAATTTTTATATGACAGAAGATTTATTCTTTCTTATTGATAAATGTGGGGCTCACTAAAGGGTTTCTGTTTTAACAACATTATTTGAATAATTTTAATATTTCTGTTTGACTATTTCAAAAAAATTGTTACTCTTTCACAAAAATATATCATTTTATTTTTTTTAAGGGTGGACAGGTAGGCTGCGGTCAATTTAAAATGAGCTTATTGAGAGCAATAAAATCCCACATGAAGTCCTCACAAACCACTTAATGTTACATACATATGACCATTTTGCAAGAAACTAATGTCTAGACACATTTATGCTGTTTAAAAAATAACAAAGCAAACTTTAAATTTTTCTTTAAAAAGGAATTGACCAATATTGTTTCTTTAATGAAAGACATTACCAAATTTTAACATTCAATCGTTTAAGGATTTGATGAAAAAAAGTTTTATAAATTAAAAAATAAAATAAAAAGTGAACTAGCTTTAATTACTTTTCAGGATAGTTAATCACATTGATTGGCTTTGAACTAAATGGGAGATAAATCTTCATTCATTTACAGCAGATAGTATAAATGATCAGCAGACGACACCAATGAAAAATGGCTGAAAATAGACTGATTCCATACTTGTTCCTGAGTTTGATAGTCAACTCTATCTACAGCAAAAGTAACCAAATAAGCAACAGCCATGACCCCTATTGTAAACATTGTTGCCAGGGGCAACCTGGTTTACAGGGTACACCTGGTACCCCTGGAATAAATGGAATTCATGGAACTAATGGGATACCAGGGCAAAAAGGTCTAAAGGGAGATGATGGGAGGCCTGGGCCACAGGGCCCTCCTGGTAAGTAGTTATATGTATTTTAGGCTAAAGTTCTTTGAATTTTTTAGAGACCAAAAAAATGGAAAAGAGCAACTTTTAGTATTTACTGACAATAGTTTCTAAAATTCTTCTTATCTTCACTTGTATTTTTTTTTCAAGGGAAATCTTGGAGAGAGAGAAGTATATCATTACTTAAATATACTGTCCAGTGTTGTTTGGAATTATTTTTTTTGTGTATTGTTTTTAGCAGAAATAAAACCATTGGATTTCTCATTTACATTGTTTCATCCTCTCATGCCTCTTTTAAAATTCTTGCTTAGATTTTAGTGTCAACATACAATTTTGTGTCAATTTAAGGAGTAGATAATCTTGTCATGCTGATAATTTTTGCATTTTTCACTTTTAAGTTTTAAAATAGCAGCAAAAAATGTGAAAAATGTATATTTCAGAGCATTAACTCCAAAACGGTTGTTCAGATTTTTCTGAAATTTTTTGTTGGAATAGATTTTATATGTTGATCATTTTTGCAATTTACACTTTTAACCTAGCTCCTATATTATTCACCATAACAGCTAAAAACTGTTAAACATTGATATTTCAGGGGTTATAACTTTCTAAACTGTGAAACAAGTCAACAAATTTTTCTCCAATCTCCAAGTTAGAAACATCTCATTGTGATGATCCTTCTTTCAAATTACACTTTTAACCTAGCTCCTTGAGTTTTTAGGATAACAGCCGATAACTGCTAAAAAGTGCAAAATATGAATATTTAAGGGGCAATAACTCCAAAATAGGTCAACATATTTTTTCTCCAATTTAAAAGGGTGGATACATCTTGTCATGCAGTTCATTTTGCAATTTACACTTTTAACTTTAGCATCTATAATTTTGAAACAATGGCAAGAAAATGCCGACAAACCTTAAAATTCAACATTTCAATGGCAATAACTTCATAACAGGACAGATTTTTCCGAAATTTTCAGGGAAGATAGAATTTGATGCACTGATAATTTTTACTGTCAGTTTTTCTCTTATTGCTTTAGTTAAAGCAGGGACTTTCTATACTATAGAATAGTATAGAAAGTCCCTTGTTTAAGAAATATTATTTCTGTTCATGATGCATTTCTTTGTAAACAAAGACACTATTTTTGAAAGCTGACACATTGTTTCATTTATGATGGCAAGTGTTTTTACTGATTTATTGATTTTAAATCATTTTTATTTTCAGGGAGAACTGGTACTCAAGGATCCACTGGTGCTCGGGGGATCAGAGGTAAAAAGGGACATAAAGGGCAACCTGGAGACAAAGGAGTCCATGGAGATAAAGGGGAGATAGGACTAATGGGACATGTGGGACATAAAGGACATAAAGGTAAATATAATTTCAGTCTTGAACTATTATTGAAATTCATGTCAAATAAAATCTTGAACTTCATACCTTCAATATGAAACAAAAGTTTTTTTTACATGTCATTGATAACTCTCTTAGGCACATTTTCTTTCACTCAGGTATAAAAATATGATGCAAATGTTCAAATCTTTAAATAAGACTTTATTTAAAATAGACAAGAATTTTTGTTTTAATAAGAAATATTTTAAATTTTACAGAAAACCAGCATATATAATTAAGTGACACAAAGTACAACTGGAAACCGGTCTCAAGAAACTTACACATAAGGGATATTCCAAAATTAAATTTATAGGAGATTGGACGTCATTTAATTCTTAAGACCCTTACCCATAAAATTCTAATTTGAAATTAAGTGCTCCATTGTGTGAAAACATGTTTCTAATCCTGCTACCCTATTTTTATTATGCTATCCCCCCACCTTTCCCCAAATTACAATTAATGATGAAATAGCCCTCAGAAAGCAAAGCAAATATTCTCTTTATATAATCTAAGGGCAAGCAGGGTAGCAGGCAGAACAACCAACTTCTAGGAAAAATACTGTAATTCATTTGAAAAGAAAGATAAACTGTTATCACAGAGATATGTCTCGCCTATTGGTTATGTTGATAATGCAAATGTTGAAATTAAAATAGCAATACTTTAACATGTAAGTTATGCAAATATTCAAAGTCAATGAACCATGACTGAAGGTACAGGGCTAAACAATCTCCATGGAAATGAGATGTGCCAATGCTAATACAACTGCATACCAAATACCATTGACTTTTCATAAGTCATTCCCTTTAAACAAACATAAACACAAACATTAACTTGTAAACTATGTAAAAGTTTTAAAGTCAATGAACCATAATGAGGGGGTGGTATTATATAATCTCCATGGAAATGTTTCTTGCAAATGCCAATACATTTTTTGCATACCAAATATCATTGACTTAACATTAGTGGTTCATCTTAAACTGACTTAATTATATCACAAACTAATACATGTAAACTAAGCAAAAGTTTAAAAGTCAACAGACCATGACTGAGGGGTAAGGATCAAATATTCTCCATGGAAATGAGATGCGCTAGTGCTTATACAACTGCACACCAATTATCACTGACCTACCACTAACGGTTCCCCTTAAACTGACCTAATCAAAAACTGATACACGAAAAACTAAGCAAAAGTTTCAAAGTCAATAAACCATGACTGAGGTGGCGGGGCCAAATAATCTTCATGGTAATGAGATGTGCCAATGCTTACACAACTGCATACAAAATATCATTGACCTACCACTAGTGGTTCACCCTAAACTAGACCTAATAACAAACTAATACATTGTTGACGACGGCGCCGCCTACGCCGGAAACAGCTTACATGTCTCCCTTTTGGACTCCATCAAGGCGAGACAAAAACTGGAAGATTTTTTTTATAGGACAAGAATCTTCTTATGTTTTTAAATATGAAATGAACATCACTTTCATTGCTGTCCTTCACTTTAAAGTTACAGGAAAAATAATTTTATCAACCGCATGAGCTACATGTATCAACTGATAGCAGGGGTTTATCTGGGTATTTTGGGAAATAGGACACTGGCCAGTTTTGGGATTTTTTTACACGATTTACAATGAAATTTGAAAAACTACAAATATACCAGATGTGAGTTTTAGTGTGTTAAGTTCATTAAAAATAATCTTTTTTTGTGAAAATAAAGTAAGAAACTACATGATTGTTATTTATAATTTTATTTTCTGTTCTTTCTTTCTTTTGAAACTTAAGAATAAGGCACTCAAGTTTATCATAGTATTAAAATATCGTAGTTTTTAAAGCACACATGTGATAAAAATTTACCACCTTTTTTTATCTTCAAAGACAGTAACAGTTAACATGGTTAATATAATAAATAATTCAGGGATAGAAATAAGATGTATTTTACCTGGCCAAGCAGGCTAACACATTTTTAATTCACTTGCTCTTCCAGATTTTGACTGGCCCTTCAAAGTTGAGAAGAAAAAAATACCTCATTGATCTGTATTTATTTGTTTTATTATAAAAACAACTTATATCAACATTTTTTAGTGATAAAGAAAAGTAATGTCACATTTATTGGATTTTGACATGAAAATTTGTGAACAAAAAATAATTTTGAGTTTCTGTATTAAACATTTTCTGTTTCTTCTTTCTTTTTCATATACCTGTTGGTTTTCAATTCTAGTGTTTATATTTCATAGCCGTACTTTGTCATCTGCCTGGATTTTAAAATAAACTGTTATCACAGAGATATGTTTCGCCTTTTTGTAATTTTGATAATGCAAATGTTGAAATTAAAATAGCAATACTTTATCATGTAAGTTCTGCAAATATTCAAAGTCGATGAACCATGACTGAAGGTACATGGCTAAACAATCTCCATGGAATGAGATGTGCCAATGCTAATACAACTGCATACCAAATACCACTGACTTATTATAAGTTGTTCCCTTTAAACAAACCTAAACACAAACATTAACTTGTAAATTATGTAAAAGTTTCAAAGTCAATGAATCATGATCAGGGGTGGGGCTATATAATCTCCATGGAAACGATATTTGCAAATGCCAATACATTTGATTACCAAATATCATTGACTTAACATTAGTGGTTCATCTTAAACTGACCTATCACAAACTAACACATGTAAACTAAGCAAAAGTTTCAAAGTCAATAGACCATGACTGAGGGGGTGGGGCCAAATATTCTCCATGGAAATGAGATGTGCTATTAAATGCTTATACAACTGAACACCAATTAACATTGGCCTACCACTAATGGTTCCCCTTGAACTGACCTAATCACAAACTAATACATGTAAACTATGAAAAGTTTCAAAGTCAATAGACCTTGACTGAGGGGGTGGGGCCAAATAATCTCCATGGTAATGAGATGTGCTAATGCTAATACAACTGCATACCAAATATCATTGACCTACCACTAGTGGTTCCCCATAAATTGACCTAATCACAAACTAATACATGTAAACTATGAAAAGTTTCAAAGTCAATAGACCTTGACTGAGGGGGCGGAGCCAAATAATCTCCATGGTAATGAGATGTGCCAATGCTAATACAACTGCATACCAAATATCATTGACCTACCACTAGTGGATCACCATGAACTAGACCTAATCACAAACTAATACATTGTTGACGCCATCGCCGCCGTCGCCGGAAACAGCATACCTATGTCTCGCTTTTTGACTCCGTCAAGGCGAGACAAAAATTATTTTTCTTATTTGATCGAATCTGATGCGGTATTGTAATTGTCTACATTTCCGGTTTATGTCAGCCATCGTTTGTCAATGTCGTTTTTGTCAGTCAGAAATGTTTTTACTCGGATTTACACATTACGTGTTGGCCATTTTCGGCATAAAGCTAGCGATTGAAAAGAATGGACATCGCTGTTATGAATAATAAAGATGAAAATAAATTTTGAGATCTTTTGGGAATTTTGCTTCCAAAATTGGGAAAAAATGTAGGGTTTTTGCCATTGGGAATGGGTCCGAATACCGGACCCTGTGGAATGCTAGAAAAATCCATGGATATATAGGTTTTCCTACCGAAGGTCAGAGGTTCTCTCTCCGGACACTTCGGTTTCCGCCACCCCACCAATAAAAACTGAAGGCCAAGAAATAGCACAATAGTGTTGAAAGTGGCGTTAAACACCAATCAATCAACTGATAGCAATACAAAAGTCATATTACATAAACAGTGCTCTTGAGGAAATTATTCAAAAACACTAAATTTAACATACTGTGGCTTTATTATTATTTGTAGGATACCAATTTTTGTGAATTTCATGGGTACAGGTGTACCATGATTTTAAACGTTTCATCAAAACAAACATTTTCTATAGGCTTGTATGTAGATTTTTGCAAAACCAAGAAATCAAATATCCAAGAAAAATAAATGAATCCAAAGTAAACATGATAAAACAGGCTGGTGTGTTTCATTGGTGTTTCTCGTTTTTTATATAGAGTAGACCGTTGGTTTTCCTGTTTGAATTGTTTTTACACAAGTCATTTTGGGGCCCTTTATAGCTTGTTGTACGGTGTGAGCCAAGGCTCTGTGTTGAAGGCCATACTTTGACCTATAATTGTTAACTTTTTATACATTGTGACTTGGATGGAGAGTTGTCTCATTGGTACTCATACCACATCTTCTTATTTCTATTTACTGCAACCTTAATTTTTCAGGTGAACCAGGGAAGTCTCCAGCAAAAGTTGCTTTCTCCGTCTGCCGAACATCACCACTTGGTCCGGTCATGGAAGATACAACAATAATTTTTGACAACATTTTTACAAATATCGCAGAAAGTTTTGACACATACTCTTCACATTTCATCTGCAAAGTGAACGGCACATATCTTTTCTCTGTACATCTCCTTAGCAACAATATAAATGATGCTTATGCATGGCTGATGGTAAATGGACAACACAAAGTCCCGATTCACGGAGATCATAGATCGGGATACGGAACAGGAAGTAATACCATAATTCTCACCCTTTTTGAGGAGGACCATGTTTGGATACAACTCATTAAGAATTCATCACTTCTGAATGATTTTTCTACTTTTTCAGGATATTTACTTTTTGAGCACTAACTCACTCTTCATCATTCACTCTTTTTGTACATTTGTAATTCAAATTCCTACATGATTCTGGTAGGTATTTTCATCAATTTTCACCAAACATCATTTTGTATTCATCACAATTAGGTATGTAATTAAAGAGAAAGGATTAAATATCTGTGTTTTCTATCTATGTAAACGTCTGAAACCAAACTTCCTTTACTCATATTCAGTAAAAACTACATGCATGTTCCTGTGACACCCCTTTGGTATTGACAATTTTGTTCATATAGATCTAAGTGTACATTGAAATTTAATGCATGGAGACAGTTTTATTGTCTATCCTGCACATATGCTGTGTCTGCAAGACAAATCTACCATTGCTATGTCTCATCAAAATTATTGAGGAAACGGTTGATTCTGGAATTATTTTATGGAATATATACAGTATGTCAATAATTGATTAACTAAACCATCCTGCTAACATGGCTAATATATACATAAGTAATATGTATAAAAAACACTCACTGCAAATATAAATATTCTAGCTTGGAAACTAAAGGCTCTGCACTGCAACATATAAGAAAAATTAACCCAACAATTTAAACTACCTCACTATGTGTAAAAAAACCAAATTAAAACGTACAGAATCAATATTAGTATTTATACTTTGCAATTCAATACAGACAATATCTGAAATTCCAATAGACAATGTCTCCCAATTGAAAATAATATATGTTTGGTTGGACAGACTCTGGATAAGTTGGACACTGACTTTCGACAAGGCCACAAAAAACTCTGATGTATGTACAATTATGTCAAAAATTGATCTGAGGAAACAACTACATTTACTATAGTATGCCGTTAATAAGAGAAATTTGCCTATATTCCATGATTCAGACAAACTACAGTTGTTTGGAATGACCCCATCTGCTACCAAAATTTTGAAAGTCCTAATTCTGCAAAAGGTAGCATGATTTCTAAAGCACTAACACTGTCATATACTAATAAACCAAACATCAACACAATTTCAACAGGCATACATGTAAGTTAACAAACAAAATTAGAGGCTCTCAAGAGCCTGTGTCGATCACCTGTATCTTCTGTGGTTTTTGAAATCATGTAAAATAAGGTTTAAATCATAATAAATAGTATTAGATACCCTAGTAATGATTGAGGCCAAGTTTGGTTTAATTTGGCCCAGTAGTTAAATTAAAAGCAGGTCATCCTACTAGTAACTAGACTTACAATAGTTACCGAAGACCCCATATCATTTTTTAAAGTTGTTTTCAAGTTGTGACCATTTGAAATTTGTTTTTTTACAATTTTCCCTTAGACTTCTATAGTAAATCCCTATGTTCTATTTTTAGCCATGGCGGCCATGTTGGTTGGATGACAGGGTCATCGGATACATTTTTAAATCAAGATACCCTATTGAAAATTGTGGCTAAGTTTAATTCTATTTGTCCCAGTAAATTCAGTGGAGAAGATTTTTTGTAAAAGATTAATAAAATTTACGAAAAAAATTGTTAAAAATTTGACTATAAAGGGCAATAACTTAAGGGGTCAATTGAAAATTTTGGTCATATTGACTAATTTGTAGATCATACTTTGCTGAACATTATTGCTGTTTACAGTTTATCTCTATCTGTAATAGTATTTAAGATAATAACCAAAAACTGCAAAATTTCCTTAAAATTACCAATATTCAGAGGCAGCAACCCAACGGATAGTGTGATTCTTCTAAAAATTTAAGGGCAGATAGATTTTAACCTGCTGAACATTTTTACTCCATGTCAGATTTGATCTAAATGCTTAAGTTTCAGAGATATAAGCCAAAGACTGCATTTTACCCCTATGTTCTAATTTTAGCCATGTCGGCCATCTTGGTTGGCAGGCGGGGTCATTGGACACATTTTTTAAACAAGATACCCTAATGATGATTGTGGCCAAGTTTGGTTAAATTTGGCCCAATAGTTTCAGAGGAGAAGATTTTTGTAAAAGATTACAAAAATTTAAGAAAAATTGTTAAAAATTGACTATAAAGGGCAATAACTCCTTAAGGTAGATTCATGGTATACCGCCATCTTGGATTGTACAATTGCAGTACAAAATCGGTCTAGTTATTTGCCCAAATCTGCAAATTTGGAGACAGATTTGCAATTTAATGGTTAGACTGTTTATTTATATAAAGAAAACTTGGTGATTTATTGTATTTTTCAAAATATTTAAACAAATATCATTTTTTTTTGTTTTTAGATTCATTTTTTTAAATGAGCTATTTCAGGGGAAATAACTCTTTTAGTAAAAAATTTATACTGGACTAATAGGGAAATTTTTTATTTTTACTTGTAGCAAGAAAACAAGTTCGGTGACACAATTTTTTCTTTTTATTTTCTTAAAACATATTATAAAACCTATCTTCTCACAATTTATTTCAAAATTCTATCTCATAGAATTTTTTTTATGCACACAAATGTGTTTTTTCATGAACAATCTAACCAAATTGAAGCAATTTTCAGCGATTCATAGCTTGCAAAATAGCACGGTGACCTATACTTTTTATTATATTTTTGAAAACATCATAGTAAAATCTTCATTTTGGAAAATTATAAGAAAATTCTGTCTCAAAAAATATATACTTATGATCTACCTTAAGGGATCAATTGACAATTATGGTCATGCTGACTTATTTGTAGATCTTACTTTGCTGAACATTATTGCTGTTTACAGTTTATCTCTATCTATAATAATATTCAAGATAACCAAAAACTGCAAAATTTTCTTAAAATTACCAATTCAGGGACAGCAACCCAACAATGGGTTGTCTGATTCGTCGAAAAATTTCAGGGCAGATAGATCTTAACCTGATGAACATATTAACCCCATAATCAGATTCGCTCTAAATGCTTTAGTTTCAGAGATATAAGCCAAAAACTGCATTTTACCCCTATGTTCTATCTTTAGCCATGTCGGCCATCTTGGTTGGCAGGCGGGGTCATGGGACACATTTTTTAAACTAGATACCCTAATGATGATTGTGGCCAAGTTTGGCTAGATTTGGCCCAGTAGTTTCAGAGGAGAAGATTTTTGTAAAAGTTAACGACGACGGACGCCAAGTGATGAGAAAAACACATCTAAACAACTGTTGGATTTGGCAAAACAAGGATAATGACATTGTATGTTTTATCCATTGCTCCCTGCAAGATAACTCTTCGCATTGCTCTAGGGCTTTCCATTAATCGTATGCATACACGTAGGCCATGGGTACCTGTAATGACAACATTTTGTTCTTATTGGCTTCAGGGTATACTATACCTACTTTTTCAACTCTGTTTTGGTATCTTTGGAAGGAGTCACACTTGATTTGCCCACAGCTTTATCCTCTTCTGTTTCAGACTTGGTGCTTTTTTTCGGAGCTAAATATATAACAATATAATTTATTTAACAAGTAGTATAAGAAAATCATTAATTTGCAAAATAATACATACAAATATTGTTTTTAGTACTTTCTCTGTGAGTTTTTTTAGTATTGGGTTCTGAATGATATACCTTTACTAAGGGACAAAAAATAAATATTGATTTCCTGCCTCCTGACAGAAAGAAAAATGGGGTAGGTAGGTAAAATAAATTTATAAAATGTCATCTGGAACAAATACATATCTTGACTATCTTCATTGATTGAAATCAGGTCATACTAATGTGAGACTGCAGAGCTTTATGACATGAGTACTGTAAATTCAGAAATTATTGCATGCATTTATTATTGCGATTTTGTCATTTTAGACTAAAATGCGATTTTAATTTTTGCGATATTGAGAAAAATCCTGTTTCATATAAAAAATTTCAAAATGCGAGTTTAAATTATTGCGATTATAACCCTGTCACATTTTTCGCAATAATAAAAACATCGCAATAATTTCTGAATTTACAGTAATTATTATCCTAACAGATTGGATTAAAAAGCTGTGTTTACATTTCAAGGAACCTTTCCTGTAAATTCAAGTAAGAGAAGAGAAATATTCTGGCAGCCTATAGACAACAACTAAAACATTTTAGCATCTTGTTATAAATCAAGGGCATTGGTCTAATGGATCCCTGTTGTTTATAGCTTACCAAAGAAACTGTGTACAGGTTTTGTTGCTTTTGTTTCAGTTTTCTCGTCAGTCTTTTCTTCTTTTATTTCTAAAAATTAAATGCAGTTATTACTATCAAAATGTAATCAAATGAACAATACAGACATGCACATATGAACTAAATTGATAAAATTAGCAAATGGGATCAAAATACATATCAAATGAACAATTTAGAGTACTGACAAAACTTAACTAATTATGCAATAGAAACAAGCACAACAAATGTTTTTTTTTTCAATCTGAAAACTAAAGTTATCTCCCTTACATGGCAAAACTGTTATGCAAAATGTGTCACGAGAAAAGAAAAACTAGAGGCTCTAAAGAGCCTGTGTCGCTCACCTTGGTCTATGTGAATATTAAACAAAGGACGCAGATGGATTCATGACAAAATTGTGTTTTGGTGATGGTGATGTGTTTGTACATCTTAATTTACTGAACATTTTTCCTGCTTACAATTATCTCTATCTATAATTAACTTGGCCCAGTCGTTTCAGAGGAGAAGATTTTTGTAAAAGATTACTAAGATTAACGAAAAAATGGTTAAAAATTGACTATAAAGGGCAATAACTCCTAAAGGGGTCAACTGAAAATTTCGGTCATGTTGACTTATTTGTAGATCTTACTTTGCCGACATTTATTGTTTTTTACAGTTTATCTCTATCTATAATAATATTCAAGATAATAACCAAAAACAGCAAAATCACCTTAAAATTACCAATTCAGGGGCAGCAACCCAACAACGGGTTGTCCGATTCATCTGAAAATTTCAGGGCAGATAGATCTTGACCTGATAAACAATTTTACTTCATGTCAGATTTGCTTTAAATGCTTTGGTTTTTGAGTTAAAAGCCAAAAACTGAATTTTACCCCTATGTTCTATTTTTAGCCGTGGCGGCCATCTTGGTTGGTTGACCAGGTCAGGCCACACATTTTCAAAACAAGATAACCAAATGATGATTGTGGCCAAGTTTGGTTTAATTTGGCCCAGTTGTTTCAGAGGAGAAGATTTTTGTAAAAGATTACTAAGATTTACGAAAAATGGTTAAAAATTGACTATAAAGGGCAATTACTCCTAAAGGGGTCAACTAACCATTTCGGTTATATTGACTTATTTGTAAATCTTACTTTGCTGAACATTATTGCTGTTTACAGTTTATCTCTATCTATAATAATATTCAAGATAATAACCAAAAACAGCAAAATTTCCTTAAAATTACCAATTCAGGGGCAGCAACCCAATAACGGGTTGTCCGATTCATCTGAAAATTTCAGGGCAGATAGATCTTGACCTGATAAACAATTTTACTTCATGTCAGATTTGCTTTAAATGCTTTGGTTTTTGAGTTAAAAGCCAAAAACTGAATTTTACCCCTATGTTCTATTTTTAGCCGTGGCGGCCATCTTGGTTGGTTGACCAGGTCACGCCACACATTTTTAAAACTAGATAACCAAATGATGATTGTGGCCAAGTTTGGTTTAATTTGGCCACGGAGTTTCAGAGGAGAAGATTTTTGTAAAAGATTACTAAGATTTACGAAAAATTGTTAAAAATTGACTATAAAGGGCAATAACTCCTAAAGGGGTCAACTGACCATTTCAGTCATGTTGACTTATTTGTTAATCTTACTTTGCTGAACATTATTGCTGTTTACAGTTTATCTCTATCTATAATAATATTCAAGATAATAACCAAAAACAGCAAAATTTCCTTAAAATTACCAATTCAGGGGCAGCAACCCAACAACAGGTTGTTCGATTCATCTGAAAATTTCAGGGCAGATAGATCTTGACCTGATAAACAATTTTACTTCGTGTCAGATTTGCTCTAAATGCTTTGGTTTTTGAGTTATAAGCCAAAAACTGCATTTTACCCCTATGTTTTATTTTTAGCTGTGGCGGCCATCTTGGTTGGTTGGCCGGGTCACGCCACACATTTTTAAAACTAGATACCCCAATGATGATTGTGGCCAAGTTTGGTTTAATTTGGCCTAGTTGTTTCAGAGGAGAAGATTTTTGTAAAAGATTACTAAGATTTACGAAAAATGGTTAAAAATTGACTATAAAGGGCAATTACTCCTAAAGGGGTCAACTGACCATTTCGGTTATATTGACTTATTTGTAAATCTTACTTTGCTGAACATTATTGCTGTTTACAGTTTATCTCTATCTATAATAATATTCAAGATAATAACCAAAAACAGCAAAATTTCCTTAAAATTACCAATTCAGGGGCAGCAACCCAATAACGGGTTGTCCGATTCATCTGAAAATTTCAGGGCAGATAGATCTTGACCTGATGAACAATTTTACCCCATGTCAGATTTGCTCTTTATGCTTTGGTTTTTGAGTTATAAGCTAAAAACTGCATTTTACCCCTATGTTCTATTTTTAGCCGTGGCGGCCATCTTGGTTGGTTGACCGGGTCACGCCACACATTTTTAAAACTAGATACCCCAATGATGATTGTGGCCAAGTTTGATTAAATTTGGCCCAGTAGTTTCAGAGGAGAAGATTTTTGTAAAAGTTTACGGACGACGGACGACGGACGACGGACTCAGGACGACGGACGACGGACGCAAAGTGATGAGAAAAGCTCACTTGACCTTTCAGGTCAGGTGAGCTAACAATAAAAAATTTCCGACATTGCTTACTTTACGGTATAGGTTTAACATGGGTTTACCTCATTGTTGAAGGTTTTTTGGTTTAATACCTATATTTGTTAACATCTCTGTCTGTTTACTAATTACTGATGTCATACATGGTATGTGAGAAATAAAGACCATCTTAGTACAAAATGACAATGAATGGAAAAAGAAGATGCAATACCTCCTGAATGATTCAGATTAAAATCCCTCTTATTGGTGATTTTTTACTGTGAATGCTGGTGATCTTTAGTGATTTATTCTAGAACTTGTAATACACACAATTGGATCATTAATTAAAATCAACCCACATAATAATGAATTTAACATAACATAAACTGCACATATATGAACACAATCAACTACCTTTTTTGACTTCAGGAGATTTTTCTTCTTTCTTTGATTTCTTTTCTTTAGGGGTTGCTTTCCCTTTATTATTACTAGTTTGTTTTTCTTTCTTCCCTTTAGGTGTTTTCTTTTCTTTCTTGACTTTTGGACCATAGCTTTCTTGTTTGTCACTCTCCTCTTCTTCTTTTTCCTTCTTGTCATCTTGTTTGTCAGATTCTGTATTCTTCGTGTCTTCTGACATATCAGGTTCTTTTGCGTCTACCTCCATTTCTTCTTCTTCTTGGTCTGTAACTGTCTCTTTTGTATCATTTGTTTTAGTCGTGCTCTGAAGTTATATAAATGACACAATAATAACATATAATATATAAGTCTTTGATATAAACTTTGATCAACAAAAAATGTAGGTATGAGAGTGCTAACAATACAATGTTAAAAGAATTTACATTTCAAAGCGACATAACTCCTGTAAAAATATAAAGATCAAAACTCACCCAAGACATTGCTAATGTAAACCTATGATATAAATTTCGTAACAATCTTAGAAGAAATGAATGTGTTAGAGTCCTTAAAATGCAATTTTTTTTATATAATTGAAATTCCAAGAGGCACGACTCTTTTGAAAATTGTTGATCGGCGCTGATTTTCAAACTTGTCAAAGACATTCTTGATCTAACCCTGTGACATAAATTTCATTAATATCTGGCAAGAATTAAACACTTTATAGAGCTAACAATGCAATTTTATATTGAATTAAGATTTCAAATGGACTTAACTCCTTTAAAAATAATTATTGAGAGCTGATTTTCAAACTCCTCCCAGGCAATGCTGATATAAATTTCAGAAATACCTGGCAAGAATTGTACACATGAGAGCACTTACAAGACCAACCAGACAGACGTCCAGTACATGTCACGCAGGGGACAAAAATGTCTGATCACATATTTTGAAGCCAAAATCAACAAAAGTTCTATTATTTTTTTTTGTCACCACCATCATTTTGATTGAACATTAAAAACAGTAACGGTAAACCTTTTCTGTTTTTAAATAGTCACAATTTATACTGTAAAAAACTAAAGTTAGAGAAGGGAAACCAACTTTGGGACGTACAGACAGACGTACAAGAGTAAAACTTTATGCCCCCTCCGCTACAGCGGGGGCATGAAAATTGATGGAAAATTCTCATGCATTTTAATATGATTTGTGTATTTTGGCCAAGAATGCACTAACTGTGAATATCGAGTGAAAATCAAACCCACTTTCAGGAAAATTGCTATTTTCCAGGCTTTACCAACTAGACAATTTTTTCTCGATATTAAATGTCCGCCTGATTTTTTGCAAGTCAGATGAATTTTGTAAAGTCTGCCGGAGTGGATAACCAATTGTCAGGATGTCATGCATGGTTGACACACTGCTTATATTCTCATCAGTGTTTGTACAAATCTAAAGGTAGTGTCATTTTAATAATTCAATTTTCTATGAATGGATATTCCATTCAAAACATACAGGGAACCCAGGTAAAGTATGTCAAAGTCTCAACTATGAGTTGGTGAATTTGTACAGTTATCAATAACATAAATCCTAAAACTGCCTCTTTAGGCTGTTTCCCCACTTTCAAATTGCCTTCCCTATGTACCAGATTCTTTTTGATTGGAACAGCCCTAACCTCTTCTTTTTCAGTCTTTTCTTCCTCATCTTCTGTCTTCCGTCTTTTTTTACTTGATGATTTTTCTTCTTTGTAGTCTAATGTCTTTCTTTTGGGTGTAGCTCCCATACTTTTTCTTGCTACAAAAGTAAGGTTTAAACAATATTATACAGACATCATTTCAATAGCTTCATGCCTTAAATAAACTAGATTTTTATAAGAGAGAATTGAAATCTCAACAATTAGTCTCCTATAATTGTCCATTCTTCAAAAATCACAATAATAAATACAGTTTACACACAATAATTTCTGAATTTAAGAGTATTCATGTGCCTATCCAGTCAGGAATTATGTCAGTGGTTGGTTGTTTTATGTCTTATCTTAAGGATGTTCGCTCCTCTCGTTCTTGAATTTTTGCCAGATATTCGGAACCCTCTGGTTTTATCCATGTAGTGCCATTAAAAATTTTTGCCCACTAACCCCTACTTTTCTTTTCATAACTTGATTAAATATTGTTAAAAATGCCATCTTTGAAAATCTTATTAAATCCTTGTTATTTTTTCATACTTTTAGACAGAAAAAAGGTGCCAATGTTAAATGTATGAAAAGTCTAGAGAGAATCATTTCCCGCCAAATTTTCAATGCCTTATATCTCGAAAACAAGCACACGGACCCTTCATTTTTATCTGCTTTTTTAGTTCCTTTTTTTATATACTATCAATTTATAACATTCTTTTAAAAAGCTTGTTATTTTGAAACCAGAGTAGCGAACATCCTTAATGTTTTTTCTGTTGTTAAGTGAATTTGGTGTTAACAGTAAATCTTTTGTTAATATTGTTTAATTGATTTGTAACTTTTATCAACTCTAAGATGATTTAGAGATTGACATATACATGTATACAGACATCTGTCTATGATTGAGGATTGTATGATGCCTTTTAGTTGTTTTTGTCGTTGGGTTGCTGTCTTATTGATTTTGTCATGTCAACCTTATGGAGCATTCTTAGTTCTTGTATTCAATGTGTTTACAAACTGCATGTTTAATGTAGGTACAAGAATGGACTGTCCACTGTGGGCAGGTTGAAAAGGCATAATCCAAATGGTCAGTAGTCTATTCATTTTAATTGTAGATTTCTTGTTTTATTTTTTTCATCTAATTTACATAACTTATCAAGACTTGGACCTATTGAGAGCCTCGCATATGGTCAAGATATTTGACTATTGTTAAAGACTGTATGCTGACCTCTTTTACTCAATAATTGTGCTGTCTTGTGACGTATACCAAACTCCTTTTATTCATATTTGTAAGCCAGGGTTAAATGTCAATATTTTAAAAACAGGTACACACATTTTTACTGATGAGAAAATCACACATGATGGTTAATTCAGAATATCCAAAATGAATGTGTGCAATCATAAATATACAAGAATTTGTAAATATAGCTAAAAGTTTACATCTTGTGTTCTTAAAACTTGAAAATTAAAACCCATGCAATAAATTATAAACATTTCCATAAAACTTAACTGATGGTTTATTAGAATGTATTTACCTGTTCTTCTGACAGGTAAACCAAATGGTGAACTAATAGGTGTTGATGGTCCTTCCTGTGATGACTGTGAGGAAACTCCTGAATCTACAGACTCTGGCTTTGACTTCAACTAAAATAATAGCAATAGAAACTACAAATATCTTTTCTTTATAGTTCTTTTTACACTATAAATTAAAACCACACCTGTCTTGTACTTTGAAATTTTCTAACATCTGTTGACGATTTTTCTATTATGATATTCTTGTTTAGCAGCAAAAATTTAACAGCAAAGAACAATTTCTGATGGCAGATCTTTTATTGTTTCTGCTGAATTTATTCACACAACTTTTATAAAGCTATTAAGAGCTTGAAATCTGTCTATTGTTGAAGACTATATTTTGACCTTCAGGTTGATTGATTGATGTTTAATGCCACTGTCAGCACCATTGGCTTTTTCATGGCAGTCAGTTTTATTGGTGGTGGAAGCAAGAGTGCGCAGAGAGAACCAACAATATGTCTGCTTATATCATATCAAATAACATGATGACACCGCTAAATTGACAACACTTAAGTAAACTGCAACTTTTATTGGTTGACATGTATCGCCGATTAGATAGACATCTTCCGGACAAGTTAAACAGAAATATGCATCCCTGGAGTACAAAATAATGACATCAAATGTGTTCATTGTCCATGTTTTCGTAGGATACTATATGTATTGTACATGTTGTATAAGCTTACTTGAAGTGTTGTTGTCAATTTAGCGGTTTTAAATTATTTTATTTGGCAACCCTGCATATCATCGTATCCACTCAGGGGAACTCTACCAACACGAAATTTAAAAGGCATTGACTCAGCAGTTCTTTACTTAGTTCTATAACTGTTAGGTTACCTGGACCATTTTCTGTGGTGGTATGATATAATGCCTTTTATTCAGAGAGAGTTTATTGTTGGTGATTCATGTGGTCTGATGCACTGTGTAATATTTTTTGGTGATTCATGTGGAATGATGCACTGTTTAATATTTTTTGGTGATTCATGTGGTCTGATGCACTATGTAATATTTTTTGGTGATTCATGTGGTCTGATGCACTATGTAATACTTTTGAGTGATTCATGTGATCTGATGCACTGTGTAATATTTTTGGGTGATTCATGTGGTCTGATGCACTGTGTAATACTTTTGAGTGATTCATGTGATCTGATGCACTGTGTAATATTTTTGGGTGATTCATGTGGTCTGATGCACTGTGTAATATTTTTTGGTGATTCATGTGGTCTGATGCACTGTGTAATAGTTTTTGGTGATTCATGTGTTCTGATGCACTGTGTAATAGTTTTTGGTGATTCATGTGGTCTGATGCACTGTGTAATAGTTTTTGGTGATTCATGTGGTCTGATGCACTGTGTAATATTTTTTGGTGATTTATGTGGTCTGATGCATTGTGTAATATTTTTTGGTGATTCATGTGGTCTGATGCACTGTGTAATATTTGTTGGTGATTCATGTTGTCTGACGCACTGTGTAATATTTTTTGGTGATTCCTGTTATCCTGTTGATGTATTACTAGTTTATTACTAAAATGTGATTGCATCACCACAAAATGGAATAAGGGAGGCTATAAAGTTTTACATTTATGATATAAAATCCTTACGGGGGTTTCTTTCTTGTTAACTTTTTTATCCTCTATTGTTTTATCTTTTGTGCTTTCTGATTTATCCTCTTTCTTTTCTGTACTCTCTGATTTATCCTCTTTCTTTTCTGTACATTCTGATTTGTCCTCTTTCTGGTCTTTAGTGATAGCCTCAGAAGTTTCACTGGTATCCATATTGTTTTCACACTCATCTTCATCATCACTCTCAATAACTCTGGCTTTACTCTTTCTTTTAGCACGTATTTTCACGGGTGAATCTGCATCTTTTCCTGGCGAGGTATTTTTTGGTTTCAGTGGTGACTTAATTTTTTTAACTGAACTGCAAACACATGAAATAAAAAGAAGTAAAAAAGTTAATAATCAAAAGCAAAGTAATAAAATATGTTTATTTCAGTTATTTTTTGACGTGAGTAAATGTTTTCATTTACAGAAATATCTAAGCATAATAATGCTAAAAAGTGTTGCTGTATTTTTTAAACAAAGGACTGTTGACACTATTATAATATTAAATAGACTCTAAATGATAATGAGTTTGACCTACATTTGTAAAGCAGAAATATCTGTCAATATGATTTCATTTCATTGTGTTCATATATCATGATATTTCAACTCAATTCTCCATTAAGTACATACAAACATAATTTTTCAAGAAAACATATTCTTGTTTATAAAATGTAATAAGCAGATTGGATTATTTTCAAATAACAATAATGTCTAACGTGAACTACCCTAATTCACCTGCTATTTCTGTTAATTACCTCTTTTCGGTCTTTTTGCTGTCAGAGTTACAGATTGGTTCTGGATTTTTGGGTTTTGGCGAGGTAAAGAAAGATCTGTAAAAGAAAAGTTTAAATAAATCTACATAAATCAGTAAATTTTGTGCACACAATCGAGTTAACATGGTTAAGGTGGATCATTGGTATATATTTCTTAAGATAGAAATTTCTTATACTTGGTCAAAATGTAGATTTTTCCATGCTGTATTCAAAAGCGTTATAAAGAGTATGGGTCACCATGCTATTTTTCAACCAACAAGTCATGCAAAATTGCCAAAATTTGCATAGATTGTTCATGAAAAAACACTTTTTTGTGTCCGAATAAAAAGAAATCTATGAGATAGACTTTTGAAATAAAATATGAGAAGATAGGTTTTAGAATATGCTTTGATTGTTAATTTCTGTGTCATTTGGTCTCTTGTGGAGAGTTGTCTCATTGGCAATCATAACACATCTTCTTTTTTATATTTAAGAAAATAAAAACAAAAAATGGTCTCACCGACCTTGTTTTCTTGCTTAAGTAAAAATTGAATATTTTTCTATCATTCCTTCATAAAAATTTTACTAATTGAGTTATCTCCCCTTAAATGACCAAGTTGACAATTTGATTCAAACACAGGCAAACATTTGGCATTTGTTAAAACAGTCTGAATAATGCAATAAATCACTTATTTTTCTTTATTCCAATTTAAACAGTACTAACACATAATAACCAATCTGTCTCAAAATTTGCAGATTTAGGCAAAGAATTAGAATTGTGAACAGCTATTTTACAATCCAAGATGGCTGTATACAGTTAATCTACCTAAAACTTGTCAATTGCACACCTTCTGATGAGCTTTTAATTTTGCATATATATTACATACTGTATGAATGGAAAATTTAATAAAAACAAATTGCCTTCAATCATGTCAATACATTCCAGATAAGAATTCACAAATTGGGGTTTTTACCCACCATTTTTTTATATAATTGAGTGAAAGTTTTTTCAATTGCATTACTAATTCCAATTCACCCCTCAAGCAAATATCAAATTGGGTTTTTCACCACCAAGCTCCTTAATGTATTGGGTTTTGTAGTCATCAAGACATTGAATTTAGGCATGTTATAATGAAATTATATCAAAATGAGATGTTCATCCACCGTAAATATGTTTCTTTCATTATATATGTCATGGCTGTTTTATTTGTTTTATACCCTGACGAGCAATTGTTCGTTTAATTTGTATCTGGTTTGTTTTAGTTGTTTGCCAGTTTTGTATTTTCTCTAAATTTATATAAACTGATGTACTGTCACTAGTGGGGCATTTAACTAATTGCCTTCCTAGAGCACATTCGATCACCCTTCGGTTTATTTAGGTAGGTGTGGCTAGGTTTTTAGATTTTTTTTGTAGTTCTTGTGAACATTTATCCTGTAAGACAGTTTTGCCAATCCTGTCAACTGTTCGTCAGACCTACTTTTTTAAAAATAATAAATAGTTCCCAGTTGGATTAAGATACACCTTAAAACCTTGATGACCATGGGGTGGATTAATGAATGAGACCCAAATAAATAATTGACAATCTTGTACAACTCTTGCCAATAACTATCTATAGTTGTATTATTGGCATAAGAACAATTATGTCAAAAACAAAGAAAGTGGCAAGCTACATTTACGTCAAAACGAATATGTGTGTTCACTCATCAACAGAAATGAAACTAGAGGCTCTAAAGAGCCTGTGTCGCTCACCTTGGTCTATGTGCATATTAAACAAAGGACACAGATGGGTTCATGACAAAATTGTGTTTTGGTGATGGTGATGTGTTTGTAGATCTTACTTTACTGAACATTCTTGCTCCTTACTATTATCTCTATCTATAATGAACTTGGCCCGGTAGTTACAGTGGAAAATACTTTGTAAAAATTTACAAAAATTTACAAAATTTATGAAAATTGTAAAAAATTGACTATAAAGGGTAATAACTCCTTAAGGGGTCAATTGACAATTTTGGTCATGTTGCCTTATTTGTAGATCTAACTTTGCTGTACATTATTGCTGTTTACAGTTTATCTCTATCTATAATAATATTCAAGATAATAACCAAAAGCTGCAAAATTTTCTTAAAATTACCCAATTCAGGGGCAGCAACCCAACAACGTGTTGCCTGATTGGTCTGAAAATTTCAGGGCAGATAGATCTTGACCTAATGAACAATTTTATTCTCATCAGATTTGCTCTAAATGCTTTGGTTTCAGAGATATGAGCCAAAAACTGCATTTTATCCTATGTACTATTTTTTAGCCATGTCGGCCATCTTGGTTCGCGGGCGGGGTCATCAGACAAATTTTTTAAACTACATACCCTAATGATGATTGTGGACAAGTTTGGTTAAATTTGTCTTAGTAGATTCAGAGGAGAAGATTTTTGTAAAAGATTACAAAAATTTACGAAAAATGGTTAAAAATTGACTATAAAGGGCAATAACTCCATTTTGGTCAAGTTGACTTATTTGTAGATCTTACTTTGCTGAACATTATTGCTGTTTACAGTTTATCTCTATCTATAATAATATTCAAGATAATAACCAAAAACGGCAAAATTTCCTTAAAATCACCAATTTAGGGGCAGTAACCCAACAACGGGTTGTCCGATTCATCTGAAAATTTTGGAGCAGATAGATCTTGACCTGATGAACAATTTTACCCCTTGTCAGATTTGCTCTAAATGCTTTGGTTTCAGAGATATAAGCCAAAATCTACATTTTACCCCTATGTTCTATTTTTAGCCATGGCGGCCATCTTGGTTGGCAGGCGGGGTCATCGGACACATTTTTTAAACAAGATACCCTAATGATGATTGTGGCCAAGTTTGGTTAAATTTGGCCTAGTAGTTTCAGAGGAGAAGATTTTAGTAAAAGTTAACGGACGACGGACGCCAAGTGATGAGAAAAGCTCACTTGGCCCTTTGGGCCAGGTGAGCTAAAAAACAAAACTCTTTTAAACTAAAAAATACTTGAATATTTTTGTTTAATTGTATTTACATAAAATTATCTGGTCATTAGTTGTCCCTTATTAGAACTTGTGGTTTCTAATGCTTTTCAAATATATAATTGATTTGGCCTTTCTCTGTTTCAACTGATTTAATTCTTGCACCACTGAGATAAAAACCCGTTTTTGTCGGACTAGTAACAATGTTCTCGTTAAGGCACGTATACTCGCCCTAGACATGCTATGCATGAACCCGTGTGTCCGAAGAACGCTTCCTGATAACACTAGCTGAGTCGTGTTATCAAAATTATCCCTCAGCTATCAAAAAGAAGCTGAACATATGAAAACAAGCTTCTATTCAATATTACTACTGGAAATTTACTTTGTTTTAATTCATTCATTGACATAAATCCTGAGCAATACGAAAATAATAATGATCGCTTACGCTAATTCATTTGGATAAATGCAGAGAAGATCGAAATATGTATACATCAGCACGTTTATCTTTAGAGTAACAGACAATTCCAACAGGGACCCAGATCCACTACTTGATGTAACTCTCTATTTTTAGAACGAAAGGAGATTTCCAATTATCAATATTACAAAAATAGATTTACCCAACGATAATATATAGATAGGGTAAATAATGCACACGAAAACGACTATAAGGGTTGAGAACGCATGGTTTTGACATTTATTGGGTTTTCCTTTGCATGAATTGGGTTTTTGAACACTGCAATCGTCAAATGCATTGGATTTTCAATTGTTTTTATTACATGATCACACAAATACGCAGCTTATCTGGAGCTCTGGACACTTATCAGCTTGGGTCTTGCAGTTTTATAGTTATCTAGTCTGGTATTTTCTCAACAATTACTTGAAAAAAGCATAATTAATACTTTAGATATACCAAAGAAATGATAAGTAACAATTAACAAATGATCAGAGGTATTAACTTTATTTTTTTTATTCTTCACTTTTTAACGATGCAAGACGTTTCGGCCACACAGGCAGTTTAAGTAACAAATTGAAAAAGTGTATCAAATTAAGCATGTTAGAATATTCATTACACATGTTACATGGTGATTGTTAATAAAACAAATGAATAATCATATCCAAAGAGTTGATGGCTTTTGGATTTTCTGCAGTCGTTGGTGTCTATATGTTTCTCATACTTGTGTTTGTTAGGCCACTTTTTTTATATTTGTTGGTTTACGGATCCGCAGACCCTGTTTTTCCTGATTTTGAAATAAAAAAAAAGATTTGAAGATTTTTTTTAATACCGCCGACCCTTTTCTGTTTGAAGAAGTACAAATAAAAATAAAAATATAATAAAAAAAATCGGCCTTTCTTCCTCTAGTCGGAATACCCTCGGAGTGGATTGGAAAATCCTGTGCAGTTCCCTGTTCAATCAACGTTTCATCATGATCTAATGCAGTGAAAAGGAACCAGTTGAAAATGGAGGTTGACGGTGGGTCAATTTTTTTTCAAGCGTTGATCAGAAACCCGTTGAAAGGGGATGTTTTAGGGCAGTTTGTCCGCACAAAACCATTACAGACTGTAAAAGACATTATTCTTGAATGTCTTAGTGAAAGCGTTTTTGTTATTGACACCGTGAAAGCTTCCAAGAAAGACAAATTGACTGACGATGCCAGCGTTGTCCCTTTGGACACACCATGTGAAGTACTAGCCAAATTCAGGTACAAATTTCTGCACGTCAGTGTTCATGGGTGTCTGATTAATTGGCCTTATTATATAAATACCTAAATACCTTCCCACGGTACCTATTAATATGTTTTAATGGAACAGTCCTATTGAGTAGGAATTTAAATAAGATCCATGTGTTTTTCTTATTTAAATTGATATAAAGAAGGGATATGGTGAACAAGATCCCAACACAAAATCAGAACATGTATTACTGTCATAGAATGCCCGACAATATCACTTAGACATTTATAAAAAGGGACAATCACAGGACAATTCGAGATATAAGTTAATACTTAGCAGTGTAAAATAGCATAAAAAGGACAAAAATTGTATGTTTATATGTACCACATATGAAGGCATATGACATGCAGAGAGCATGGTA